AGAAGAGTGGGAGAGATAACAGGAAGTAAAGGAGGACAAGCATTAGAGGCCAAGTTGCAGAGTGCTTTTGATGCCACACTCTTTTCCTGTTGGAAATGGGAAGTCAAGATTAAGTGCCGTTAGCTTGATGAAGCCTCAAGTTCTCCCACCCGTCACGTTCTTACAGTGTGCCACTGATCCTTCCCACGAAGAGGTTGTGTCACCTTGCCCTGAAACTGGGTGAGCCAGAGGTGATAATGCAACTTCTGAGAATAGGCCATAAAAAGTAATATACTTCTGTCTTGTCCTCTTGGGATGACCCTTCTTTTTTTTTTTTTTTTTGGTCTGTTTGAGGCAGGGTCTCACTATGCAGTTCAGGCTGGCCTTGAGCTCTCTTCGTAGCCCAGGCTGGTCTCGAACTCGCAATGACCCTCCTGCCTCAGCCTCCCGAGTGCTGGGATTGACTCTTCATTTTTGTGAGCAAACATAGCCCATGTGGAGAGATGTTTGATCACACCTCAGATGTGGTTCTAGCATCACCTGCCACATAGATGAGGGCAGATTCCTTCAGATGATCGTGGTCCCCAGTGATCAATTTTCTCAGGCATCAACTCTTACAGCCTTCAGGTCTTCTCACTGGGGTATTGTGGAGCAGAGATAAGATGTCCTCAAGCCTGTGTTCATGACCCACAGAAACCATGAGATAACTTTATGATTGAAGGTTTATATCACTGAATGTTTAGCTAAACTGTCACACAGCAATGCCTGTTAACCAGAATTCTTATCTGCCTCTAATATGAAGGATGTCAGCTGAGGAAACTAAGGATAAGAAGACCAGAAAGTAAAGCTTCATTGTCATCTGGAAGATAAATATCTGGCAGAAAAAGACAAGAGCCAAGTGTTTTTGCCAGACATTTGGCATTGATTCTTAAATCTAAAATTTGGTTTTCTCTTTATTGGTGGAAAAGACCAGAACCTGGCACTTGAAGTGTTTTCATTTTGCAGTTCATTCACCAGATCTTTACAGAGGGTATGCTAGGGGCCTGTCATGGTACTTGGTTCTGAAGTTGATACGATATTCGATTCATGTCACTGTATTAGGGTTTCCAAAGAAACAAAACCAATAGGACAGATGATAACAGGGAATTTATTATGTTAATTTATAGGAGGATTAGCTATATGATTACAGAGGCCAAGAAAAAGTCCCATAATTTGCCACATCCAACCTGGAGAACAAGGGAAGCCACTGCCATAGTTCAGTGTGAGTCCAGTGGCCCGAGAACTGGGGTAGCTGATGGTGTAACTTGGCTTGAGACCAAGGCCTGAGAGGCTGGGGGCCACTGGTGTAGGTCCTGGAGTCCAAAGGGCAAGAACCTGGAGTTCTGATGTCCAAAGGCATGAAAAGGTAGATGTCCCAACTCCAGAAGAAAGACTGGATCATCCTTCCATGGAATTGGTGAGGGGAGTCTTCCTTACTCAGTCCCCTGATTCAGAATCCTCCCAGGCACACCCCAAAGGAATGCTTTATCCACTATCAGGGTAGCCCTTAACCCAGTCAAGTGGACACCTAAAATTAGCCATCCTCGTCATCAAAGAATTTATGAAACTGGAACTGATGATTCAAGATCAGCTAGAACAAACTCCAAATAGTAAAATATTAATTCAGTGAAACATGTACTTAAATACTGAAACAGAGCCAGGCCTGGGGGCGCACATTTGTAATCCCAGCACACCGGGAGGCAGAGGCAGGAAGATCGCAAGTCCAAGCCCACCTTGGCAACTTAGCAAGAAGCTGTCTCAAAATTAAAAAATAAGGGGGCCAGGGTGCTGAGAATATAGCTCAGTGCAAAGGTCCTGGGTTCAATCCATGGTACTACCAAGGAAGAAGAAGGAAAGAAGGGAGGATAGATTGATCTTAAAGTAATGGTCAGATATTTATCTCAGGAATTCAATGAAAGGAACCAATGTTAACATGAGTAATTGTCTTAGTGACCTTCCTGTCACTGGAACAAAATACCTAACACCCACAACTTAAAGGAAAAGAGATTTATGTTGGCTCATAGTCTCTGTGTATGGTGGGCTGGCTGCAAGACAGAAATATGGTGGAAGGGCCTGGTGGAAGACAGCTGTTAACCCCTGGCAGCCAGGAAGCAGAGAGGGCAGGGAGGAGCTGAGGACAAGGATATGCCCACCCTAGTGCCATCCCAGTGACCACCTCCAACCAGGCTCCACCTGCTGCCAGCCCAGTCTGCTACTGAAGTAATGAATGAACCCACTGATGGCTGTAGCACTCCCATGTTTCAGTCACCTTCCATACACACGAGACTTGGAAGAGAGTTTAGAGTTAACCACAACAGCAATCAGGAGTGAAATCTGGGGCTGGGATATAACAGCGGGACAAAACTGCTGGGCAGGCACAAGGTCCTAAGTTCAAGTCCTGGTAACCAAAAAAAAAAAAAAAAA